TCTGGGCAACCTGCTCCAGTGTTTCTCCACCCTCAGCGTAAAAAATTTCTTCCTTAGATCTAGTCTATATCTACCTCCCTTCAGTTTAAAGCCATTTACCATACCAATGTATGGTAGAACTGAAACTTCTCTGAGCTTTGTTCATCTGAAAACTGGGGTGGGTGCTCCAGGTTTCAGTTCTTTACCAGCATTTTGTGGAACTTTGAATTCTGATGTGAAGTTGGCTGCTGACTTGCTTCTCTCCTGAAGAAGTTAACTTCTTTGCATAAATTGTTTATAACCAGAGTCTGAGGTCTTAAGGTATTTGGAGTGAGGGATGCATCTGTAGTTTTGTAGGCCCTGGGGGTCTTTATGGGACCTTTTAGAGTAAAATGCCTTTGAGCTCACAAAATTTCTTTTCGGTCAGGAGATGGTTTGCTGAAGTTATTGGAATAAATGCTGTTAAAAATTGAACTTCAGTATGTCAGAAAATAACCAAGGTTGCTACTGTATTATTAGCATAGCTGGTCCTCTCTTCTTTTGACTTGATGATCTGCAAGATGTTCATAGTTTTGGCATAGCTCATGCTGAAGATCAATTTAGCAACAACAGCTCTGAGTTAAGAGTGCTTTGCGTAATTTGTTTAGTAGGTTGGCTTGATGCACTGTGTAGGGACCAGGTTTTGGCTAATATACAAGATCTTGATTAGCTGCTTTGACTAGTACATTTGCTTAAGGCAACTAAATGTAATAGAGGATGTTATGTTTATTACATTAATAAACTAATAAGATTTTTAAAAATATAAATGTTAAATACACTTGAAATTTCAAACACAGTTATTAGTTTGAAGACCAAATGTAAACAGTGGTTTTACGATCACATGCTGCCTTTTAAGAAATGCTGCAGAGGGCAGTAGAATCAGATTTTGAGGAATACCTTCTTTTATAGCAAGCCCTCTGCAGTCTAGAGCAATAACACAGAACACGAATAGACTATGGGGAAGAAGGGAGATGCCTGGTTTTAACTAGTTTACATTTTGTTCTCGAGAGAAGCTTTTGAATTTTCTAGGACTTAAAGCAGCTTTTACAACTTGTTTGGACAGGTGGATGGCTTTCAAAGAGCAGCTTTCAATGACCAAAAAGACAAATGTGTATCCTAAATTTTTAGAGGATGAGCACGTGACTACTATTTATCAAATGTTCCACATTAAGTACTATAGTAACTCAAGGTGGTTTACCTTCTTGACAGAGGGGCGGGCTACCCCACATTCAGGTCGGGGTAAGATATTGCACATTTGCAATTAGCATGAAATAACTGATATTAGCTGTACTTGATTTAAAGTTGAAACATGAGACAGGGCTTACAGGTTTTGTCTTGTTAGGGTGGAGCTTTGTCAGTTTAAGAAGAAATGTATATTTCGTATGTCTCAAGCATCAATCGAAGTAAACTTGACCCAGGAGATTTTGTCCTCTGTTCCCTATTTAATACTGGCTGAAGTGGAACTCTTCTTAATTCTGTAACTGCTCAGACAATTTCTCTGTATTCCTCGCAGGCTACCTGTCCTTGCTTCCACCCTCTGTAGGCTTCCTTTTTGTGTTTGAGTTTGTCCAGGAGCTCCTTGTTCATCCATGCAGGCCTCCTGGCGTTTTTGCCTGACTTCCTCTTTGTTGGGATGCATCACTCCTGACCTTGAAGGAGGTGATGCTTGAATATTACCCAGCTTTCTTGGACCCCTCTTCCCTCCAGGGCTTTGTCCCATGGCACTCTACCAAGCAGATCCCTGAAGAGGCCAAAGTCTGCTCTCCTGAAGTCCAGGGTAGAGAGATCAGAGTCCCTGGTCTGTCACAAACTCTCTTAGGCAAATCATTAAATTTCAAAGTGTCCTATTTATGATACTCACAAAAATTGAGTTGATCTGTTTGTTCTTTTCAGGTGCAAATAGATCAGGGGCTGCCTGCTGCAAGTTTTTGTCTATGAAACAAAGCATTTGTTAGCATTTAGCATTTTTTGCTAAAATTGCTTGATTCTCTTAGAGTGAAAATATTAATTTATATTTTAAATTAATATGTGTTTAAGTCCTTCAACATGAGGATCCGGGACAGTTAGCAAATGGAACAACCTGTGATTTATCCATGCCTTGATTAATTTTAATCATAGGGATTTCTTAATTTTGAGTTCTTTGACAATGAGGATAAATTTTGCTTCTAAAGAAAACACAACTGCTCAGCTAGAGTGGGATTATGGTAATTATTACAGTTGCAAAGAAATTTGTTTCATAAGCTCTTAGAAGGGTTAGTTATCTGACCAAAAACAAGATCGATGCAGTTGGTGCTAATTAAAGCAAATAGACTAAGGAATAAAAAAGGTTTAATTCTGAATTTATGAATATCATTAAAAGCTTACATGGCTAGTTCGACTTGCGTTTCGTGCATTGTTGGGGGAATAAAAAGTGTCTGCATTTGTAAGACAAGTAAAGCCTTTAAAAGGAAACTGTTTTAAGGGAATAAACATGCTTAAGCCTCTGATACGGGCCTTTGGCAAACCACAAATGACTAGTAATTAGCTCTACTGCATTGGGTTAATTAATAAAAGGTAGCTTAAAATAGGCAGAAAGCATATTTGTCCATTACACTGATGATGTAAATTATGATAATAACACAGTACTGTTCTTTTTACCTCACCAGAGAGCTTTATTAACATCAGATGTTTCTTGTCGCCAGCACCCCTGTGATGTGAATGTAACTACTGCTGTTATGCAGGTGACATAAATGAATTTTTATCACCAGATAGCAGGTAGAAGTAAAGGCAATATGCTGAGGGCAAGGGCAGGCATGACCAAAGCCCAAATATGAGCAAATCTGCTCTTACAGGCAAAATTCATATATATCACCACAGAGCTGTTGAACCACTGTGCTTCTCCTGCAGCCTCTGGGACGAAGCTATTGGGGAGTTGCTGGTTCAAGGGAGCTCACACGGTCCTGCAGAGCTAGCCAGGTGCAGATCACGCACCAGCCAGTCCTGTTTCTGCCATCCTGTAGGCTGCTCTGGTTTTCTTCAGCATCGACCCAAAGCCCCTAAATCTCTCTTCACCGTTGCCAAGAGTAGATGTAATGGCAGAGGGGCTGACTGGGCTGTCACTGTACCAGCAGGGTGTTAGGCTCTGTTAGACGATTTCCCAGCATACCATTAAAAGCCAAAATCTAATCCCTTCTCAGACTCCCTGCCTTGTAAGGATGGGGCAAAACCAACAGTTTTGGCCGCCCCCTCTTGTTTTAGAAACAAGGTTTTCTCCACAGCACTGAAAAAAGCTTCCTTGTGAGCTGGAAAACCAGGCATGTGTTTCCCGTTCTCTTTCCTCATTTTGTGTTTGAGCCCAATGATTAATAGAAGCCATAACAACAATTTTTATAAGACCAATATATCTTATAATTGTTTTAAAAGATGTTACAGATAGTTATAAATAACATACTTTCTTCTTGAATACCTTATGTCTCTAGTATTTGAATAATAAATAATTACTATAATAATTGCGTAAGCATTAATAAAAATTAATTAATCTTTCATATTAATTTTTATATGATCTTTATAATTTTATGTATGATGGTATAAATACTGATCAAGTAAACCTGAGTTCTAGAACAAATCTCAGACTCACACAGACGAGTATATGTATGTATGCACGTACTTGCATACAAGCATACTGAGGACGAGAGGTTAGTCTGATAGGCCTCTATGCGCATAAACAGGTTTCTTTGGGTTGTCAATGTTTGGCAGCTCTAAACAGCCTTGGACTCAAGTAAGTTGATGAATGCTTGGCTGGTGGGGCTCGGGCGGCTGGTGAAAGACAATGGCTGTTAGTGACATACAGGTTTTCTGCTTGCATGCATGAAATGTGTTTTAGTTGTAAGGATTCTAGAAGAAACAGACTGAAAGCCGCAGTTGAAGGCAATATGCACGCTTAAATGCAAAAGCGTTTCCTGAGGATGAGATGAACTACAATAAAATCATGTCTTCAGCTAGTAGAAATGTAGGTAGCGTCAGTGACTTCACCACTAACACCACTGAAAGATCTGGGCCATAAAAAGGGTTTTGAAACTCACTTTACAGCAAAGCAAACCCTAATGGAGTGCTGGTGTGTAAGAGATAAATTGCTTGCCTGTTTTCTATCCACCCACCCATCACAATTGAATCAGTGGTATAAACAAGTTACTCATTTATCAAAAGTCAAACATAGAGTGTAAAAGATATTATCTAATGGGGGGGGCGGGGGGCGGGAAGGAAGGAAGGAAAAGGCAAACAAATCTCTGTTTCCATTTAGGCTGGTGTATCTCCATTGCATTGCCTGCGTTTACACCAGTGTAGTTCAGATCAGCATTCACTTCTTGTCCTGGAGATTGAATTTATCTCCCACAGCTTTTGTTTCTGTTCACTTCCCAAGCTGCATGCTGTTTTGCCTATTTCTTCTTTTAATAATTTGCTTCACAATAATACTTTAGAGTCATACCAACTAAAATGAGGGGAAGAAGAGAGAGTACAGAACTCATAATTGAAGCATATTTTTCCTCTCACTTCTGAGATTTTCATGCTGTTTGTGTTACCACAAATGTAACTCAGCTTAATTTTGATAACAATGATGCCTGTTTAATCAGAGAACAAGGGATTCTCCTTTGAAACAAGATTTCAACAGCATTTTCACCTGTTACTTGTCCTCCTCTGTGCTCAGAAAGTTTGTGACACTTTAATTGCTAACAAGTGGAGGACAAGTGGAATGTTTTTATTGAGGGTGATCTTTACCTACTCGCTGGATACATTAAATGTTGTTGTCTTCAGTGCTTGTAATTGAAGTGAATCACAGATCACAGGAATAAGTAATTATTTCAGGTATTATACAGTGATTCAGCCCTAGGAAACTCTTGCCTGAATGAGGAGTTGAGACGGTTTTATAATTATTTTTTCAAGCACATTGTTTTTACAGAAATGATTATAATTAATTGCATTTTTCTAAAACTGTCTCCAATTAGATGTTTACCCAACTACTGTGAACATGGAGGAAAATGCTCTCAGTCCTGGACCACCTTTTACTGCGATTGTAATGATACAGGCTACACGGGAGCTACCTGTCATAACTGTAAGTAAACCCACACATACAGTGTTTTCTACTATAGCTGGTATGTCAAGGTACACATAAACTAGAGAGGAGCTTTGTGAGAGGTCATATCGTATTATAGGATGTAGCATGTCCTGACATGGTTCAAACAGGTCAAGAATTGGTCTGGGAACGTACAGGAATCCATTTGCAAACATGCATGTTTCTTGACAAATATTTTGGAGAAAACAAAACCAGATTAACTCATTTTCCACATTTTTTTCTCACATTATACATTGATTTGGAGAATCTTTAATTCATTTATGTTACATACACATCATAGACACATTGGTCATTAGACATTTAGTTGAATGAGCTGAGTGATTTTAATCTGTGTTTGGGGCTTTATTTTGGCATCATGGCCTAATTTTGTTTTTAGATTGTCCGAAAGTTTCTGTTGCAAGAACCCAGTTTTCAACAGTTCATAATTTTGGAATTTTGCTGAACTATTATTTGGGCTGCTGCTATTAGCAAGGATACGTATCTGAAACAGTGGCAGTACATGAAGCATTCAGCTACTGAAATCCACAGCAAAAGGAATATTAAGATGTTTTAAAGGTTTAAAAAAATAAGCATCAAACAGTAGTGGCACAGCATGCTCGGAATTCTAATAAAAAATAGAGAGAGAAAGAGGAAATCAAAATAAAGCCTGTTCATACAGCTGACTAAAAGGGAAAACAGTTAGAAAAATGAAGGTAAACTTCCTGTTCTATCACTAGAAATAAAGAGAAACAAAGAGTGAGTAAGAATAATAATTCCAGGAATACAACTATGACTACTACAGGTGTTTGATGAGCACTCAGACCGCAGATAGGATGAGATTGGTGAGAGATGCATTTTTTTCCCTGTTAGGCAAAAAAAGCAGAAGAGAAGAAAAGGTACTTAGTGGTTTGAAGCTGAGAATATTGGCAGCCATACTGTAATTCTGGAGACTTTAATGGTTTGCTAATTAACGGTGAAATCATTTGTGGTGTGGGGTCTGCAGCTGACGGGAGAGGCTGTTGAGAGGTCTATTCATAGATTCATCACCGGGACTCTACACTGTAAGCGCAAAGGAAGCTAAGGGTTTGGTGCAGAAATCATGCCAAGCCAGATGAAGGATGGGAAGAAAAATGCTGAGTTTATAGTTTTGAAAAGAGGGTTTACTTTTTGTCCAATATTTTTGTTCCAAAAGGCATCATCCCTCTTCAAAACGTCCAAACCCAACCCAGAGTACATGCAATGATTGAGGCCATAGCAGAGTGTTTACACTGGTTGATGGTTGGTACTAAACTAGATGGCCAAATCGGTTGGTGAAAAGGGAGAGGTTCCTTGGGGAAGGAAGAGGTCTGTCGCTATTGACTGTCAAAGGCAATTAGGGACACTAACCTCTAGGCTACATCTGCGCTGTCATATTAGCTCAGGGCCTGAGGCTCACTATGTCTGTGCCAGCTCAGTGTGGCTTGCATCCAAAGGAGACCATCTCATTACTGCAGAGGACTGGTTCATGACTAGTTTTCCCCATAGACATTTGCATGGAGCTAGTGAAGTCTCCTGCTTCTGTGAACTCGTATCTGCGCTCTCAAAGGCATATGCATAGCTGCAGTTATTTAAGGTTCACTGATGTAAAAACTACTCTGAAAATATTCTCAGGAAGATCTTGTGTTAAGACTTTCCAGCAGATCAAGGTGCACACACGTGATGTACAGCTATTCAGCTGCTCAGCTTATTTACAACCATATTATCAACAGCTAATTTGGTTCCAGCTGGATTGTAGAGCCAACTGCCCTGTAGGCCAAGCAACGCTGATAAACAGCAACATTAGGCTGAAGAAATGCATTCATGTGCTTGAAATGTGCGATGAAACCGTTTCAAAGCCAGTGGGCAAATGCAAGCTGTTGATAAGAAACCTGCAGAACAAGAGATGTTATCGCTTTCAGCTGATAGTGGTTGACATACAGGAGTACCTTGTAGCAGGTGAATGAAAGCCACAGACCTGATCACAGCATAACTCCAGAATATCCTCAATGCACAGGCAACTCTTCCAATCATGTAATTCAGTGTAGTTCTATCAAAGTAAAACATCTAATTTCTTAAGGTTTGAAACATTATCTCAACAGATTTTGATTTTTACTGGAACACTGAGGCTGACAGGCCTGAAATTGAACTTGTACCACTTTGGGGAGGCTATTTCTTTTATTAAACTGCCCTTCAGACTCGAGTCCATGCAGCAGCAGTGAAAAGATTTAACTGGCAATCTGCTGCAAGTCACACATAGTGTGAATAGTTTCACTGTCAGCTGGATTTCTTTTCTGTCTGAGTTGCATCAGTGGGGTTTTTGCCTCTTTTTGGTGTGATGTTTGTAAGAGGTGGTGCCACTGGTTGAACAATGTAAAAAGACCCATTCCGTGCCATACTTTCAGGAAGAACTGTGTGACGTGCATCTGCAAACCAGAATTAATTGATATACGTTTTACCAGCTCAAAAGAAAGCTCTCTCTCATGGGAGACCTTATCATTTTAAGAACTGAGATCTGAAGATACATTGTCCCTAACTCACTGTTGTCACCTGTAAAGTGTTGAAATACATTTTGCAGTTGATACATAAGCAATCTTACTGGTTCTTCCAAGTATTCTTGGACCACACTGGGTCCCACTGTGAGGAACAGCTAACAATACAGACTATCCCTGCTCCAAAGAGTTTGCAGTTAAGTTTCTGAGGGCAAAAAAACACAGTGGCGCAGGTGATGGAATGCCAGAAAGTCTTCATCAGCTTCATAGGTGGCAGTTTCAGTCTACCAGGTACATAATTATGGCTAGGCTTTCTTGTCGGCAAAAAATCATGAAGTAGAGATTAAAAAGAGGAAGAAATTGAATGCTTACAGGCATGAAGGAGTGACATGGGAGAAAGCAATAATGTGCTTGTTTGAAAAATATAAGGCTATGGCCAGAGGAGTTTGACATTTTTGACAGGGCAAATGCCAGAGTCATGACAGGTAGATAGGTTGGAAATATGCCATGAAAAGCAAAGATAAATAGTTTGTATTTGGTGCAACAGAGGGGAATTTGTGACAGGGCAGAACAGTAAGTTGATAGAAGACACAGCTGGGACAATGTTTGCGTGACCACATCAGACATGTGGGACAAGATTGTGGTCTGTCATGACTGAAAATGGGTGTAGTTGAAATTCAAGTAGTGTGGATGAAGCAAAAGTGCACATCTCAAGATACATATAAAGAACTAGCTGGGTCTAGACATGGCCTTAATATAATCTTCCTAGAGGCAGTCAATTTTCTGCAAACCTCAGGTATCTTCCTGCTCACTCAAAATCCCTTCTGACCCTGAAAGCTCCTAAACTGTCACAGGAGGTGTGGCAATCTACCTGATCCAGATGAGGGACCACCACTGAAAGGGTGTAGGGTCATGTCCCGTTAAATAGCTATTCTGTGGCAGACAAGTTTCACCCTGAAGTCTTATCTGGTCCTGCTTCTGTTGTCCTCGTCTTCTCTGAACTTGGCTGTAAATACAAGTAAAATAGTGCTAAAACCCATTGGTGTTTTCTGGGTTTCAGTAACATATGGGAAGAGTCTGAATGTTTTCTGAACAGGTTGTTTCTTTCTTGTAAAGCTTATTGCCTAATGCATAAGTCCATTTCTCCGTTTAGTAACGGTTAATCCTCCTTCACAAGCTGCCACGTGGAATATTATCAATACCTTCCAAGTCTTTTTGGTTTTTTTTTTTAGTTTGTTTGGTTGTATTTTTCTTCCAATGGGGAAAGAGGACTTGGATTTACCTCTCATCATTCCAGCTTCCAGTGCAATTCACATCTTCTTGCTGGCTAGTCACAGCACTGATTAGCAATTTTGTTTTCTTCTCTGTACTATCTGTAGCTGTGAAACTCCAAAGCATGTGCTAGTGTCTTGCTGTCACAAATGCATGTGGACATGCAATTTGATGGGAAATGTAGAACTTGTGCTGACTGTCCCATTTCACTGCCCGCAGTTTGGGGAAACTAGGAGTCATGGAATAACCCTGTAGGATATTAAGCCAATGGTAGGTGAGTTACATTTGCTCGTGTATGAGTTTTGTTTTGCCTTAGTTTCTCCAGCCCTGTTGGGAGTGAGATCCAATTTGCAGGTCTATTAGAAGGTGTGTGATCTATATCGTTTACTGAAATGGTATGGATTCTTTCCTTTGAAACTACTGTTTGCTTACTGCTACTTGAGCTGATCTGTAGCTAAGACAGTGCTTTGAGGACACAATCTTATTTCGAGTCTGTAAAATGCATGGTTTTGCTTTTTGGTTTATCTTTTAAATGTGCTTCACACAGCTTGCATTTAAATAGGTAGGAAGATTAGCTCAGATGAAACCTTTTTAATGATAGACACTTTCCCCATTTCTACAGCGTGGTGGGTAGCTGTGGTGGGTGCACCCTGGCTGGATGTCAGGGTCCCATCAAGCCACTTTATCACTCCCCTTCCTCAGCTGGACAGGGGAGAGAAAAATATAATGAAAACCTTGTGGGTCAGGATAGGGACAGGGAGAGATCACTCACCAATTACTGTCATGGGCAAAACAGACTCGACTTGGGGAAATTTGGTTTAATTTATTACCAATCAAATCAGAGTCAGATAATGAGAAATAAAACCAAATCTTGAAAACACCTTCCGCCCACCCCTCCCTTCTTCTTGGGCTTAACTTTACTCCCGATTTTCGCTACCTCCTCCCCCACAGCGGCGCAGGGGGATGGGGAATGGGGGTTGCGGTCAGTTCACCACACGTTGTCTCTGCTGCTCCTTCCTCCTCAGGGGGAGGACTCCTCACACTCTTCCCC